GACATCGTCTGTCTTGATCTAGACACAGCCCCGTCTCCCGACCCTGCTGTTATAACATTGTCTGTCTTGATCTAGACACAGCCCCGTCTCCAGACACTGCTGTTATAACATTGTCTGTCTTGATCTAGACACAGCCCAGTCTCCAGACACTGGTCTTATAACATCACCTGTCTTGATCTAGACACAACCCAGTCTCCAGACACTGGTGTTATAACATCGTCTGTCTTGATCTAGACACAACCCAATCTCCAGACACTGGGGTTATAACATCGCCTGTCTTGATCTCGACACAACCTAGTCTCCAGACACTGGGGTTATAACATCGCCTGTTTTGATCTCGACACAGTCCAGTCTCCAGACATTGGTATTATAACATTGCCTGTCTTGATCTCGGCACAGCCCAGTCTCCAGACACTGGGGTTATAACATCGCCTGTTTTGATCTCGACACAGTCCAGTCTCCAGACATTGGTGTTATAATCATAACCTAGACATAGTCGAGTATCCAGGCATTCTATATATCATCTGTGTTAACTCTTTCAAGTCAATACACTTCAAATAGGAGGGATAAAGTATAAAAGCCACTACCATTCAAAGAGGCTAAAATCAAATAAATTATGTTATATTTTTCCAAAAATCAATAAGTCCTTTTTTTTTAAATGAACTTGTCTAAGTAATCAAATCGCACGTGACATATGCCCTGTGCTGCGATTATCTGTGGATCCAAACTTAGTTTGCTCATAGAACAATTTATATTCATATATATATATATCTAGTATCTAGTGAGAGAGAGACAGTCGCTTCGAAAAGCGTTATGGAAGCATTAAAAGCTTGTCGAAAGTCCAAAATTATCGTGATTTCTGCCCAAGATCTATTGTGAAGCGAACCAAAGACAATCTCGAGGACCCCCTATATACCCAGAATTTGATCCTACTTTGTATAAATGTGGTGCTGAAACGAATTAATATTTAAAGTAATGAAATTTTCAAAATGAAACATTAATTTATTTTAAACAAACTCGAACTTTACCGTCGTGGACCCCCCCCCCCTCTTCCCATAGAATGATCACGGAACCCAAGAGGTTTGTAGGCCACAGGCTAAGTTTCTGGGTCTAGTCTCCAGACTCTCGTGTTGTATTGTTATCTCTCAAAAACCTAGAGCTTCAAAGGCTGTTCAATTAGAACCTAGTATCTAACGGACTAAACTGTTCAATTAGAACCAGAACCTAGTATCTAACGGACTAAGCTGTTCAATTAGAACCAGAACCAAGTATCTAACGGACTAAACTGTTCAATTAGAACCAGAACCAAATATCTAACAGACTAAACTGTACAAAAATTAAAAGTTCAGAAAAAACCCTTAATAACAACAACCAACTGACACCTCTATTGGAAAAGATGTGACCAATAAAATGAGTGTTGTTTTTCGTTAACCGGACGTTCTAAATGAGATTGATAATTGTTAGGCCTCTTTTGGTCCTACTGATCTGATGATACTGGCAGATCGTCAGGAAAACAATGACAGCTTTATCAGCTGAGACAGTAGAGAGAGAGAAGGCACAAGAGTACACAATAATCAGAACACGATATAACAATGAAAAAGAAAATCACAAAATCTGGCATTAAGAGCCGGCTGGTGAGCGTTTGTCGCATCACAAAAAAATGGCGTTAACAGTCAACAATTTTAAGAAACCGGAAGTGGTTCCTTCCAGAGGTATGCCACACAATACCAGACAATAAAATAGACCAAGAAGTAAAATACGAGCCTGTCATATAATCTGAAAGTTTAGGCTTAATACTTAGATTAATACGACTGCCATTCACTATCAATACGTGATATTAATTGTTTTAATAAATACACAGAGATTGAGACAACGCACAGAAAAAATTTAAAAGTTCATGCCAACACAAAAACAAGGAGCTAGAAAAAAATGTTTCTCGTGTTTATATACAATAATAATCAAATAACAATAGAAATAATATAATTGAATAATCTACCAACAACTTTGTTTTCAAGTGAGGACTTGTGGTCTTTTTTATAAATTACAAACAGTTTTGACATATCGTAAAGTAAATAATTATTGGTGCCTCAACATTACATGTTAATCACATTTCACTTTTATTTAATTTAGTTTACTATAGTGCCATTTTTGATTTTGATCCGGTTAACCATATAACTATGATTTTGTAAATATAATACATCACTAAGTTTTTACTCATAAAGTGTACGTGTGAACAAGAATTTTGTGAAAAGTTAAAACATAAACTGTACTACATATAAATATTGTTTTGTTTTTTACATTTGGCACATTCACAGAACACCCCTGAAAAAATTTCCAAAAAGATATCGTTCCCCTTTTGTAAATTTTGGAAAATGACCCATAAAGATATCGATCCCCCTATTTAGTTTTTGGAAAACGATCCATAAAGATGTCGATCCCCCCCTTTTCAGCTTTTGGAAAACGATCCATAAATATATCGATCCCCCTTGTAGCTTTCGGAAAACGATCCATAAAGATATTGATCCCCTTTTGTAACTTTTGGAAAATGATCCATAAAGATATCGATCCCCTTTGTAGCTTTCGGAAAACAATCCATAAATATTTATTGATCCCCCTATGTAACTTTTGAAAAAAAAAACGATTCATAAGTTCATTGAGAACCTGGAGGTTTCTCGGTGATCGACGCCATGCAGCACCACAGAAACTCAGACTTTTCTCTCCAGTTCAATGCATACCACACAGTTGGGGCCAACTTTAATTCAGAAGGAACAAAAAACTTCGACGAAGCTTCAACTTCGGGGACTGCCAAAGGCCGATGTACTAGGTGGGTGAACAATCTTGGAACTGAGGCGTGGTTCTAAGCAGAGGGACAGTTGGTACAGCTCATCATCTTGCATTAAACGTTTATCATTAAGAAGATAATCGGTGACCTACGGGCATATATGGTGTATTTTAATCAATTCACGAAACGATATCAAAATTTAGAAAAAAGAGAATTAAGCAGGTATAATTTCAGGCTATATATATATATATATATATATTCAGATTCAAAAATAATAGGTCGTCAAGAAATTAATGACGTCTTTTTTTTTAAGTATTGAGAAAACCCGAACAACTTATACAT